ATGATATAGCATTATAAAGTAATTTGTCTATGGTTGATTCCCATTTACTTGTGCAAATACTTTAAAAAATAGACCGTAAATCTAATTGCAGACTACGTGTTACATGCCAAGTAACACGTAGTCATACATAACCATAACCACGCCTACAGATTCTTCAAAATGTACGATTTTTATCAACAGTAAATGCGACAGCTTCGACATGTAATCTTGCAAGTTGATTAAAAAAAAAAATTAACAAAATAAATCAAGTTTATTCATCAATTTTATCGTGTAATATTTTTGAGTTTAAAAGTAATAATTGAGTGTCATTTATAAAAATACAAGCGTTCTCACACGTGCCACTTTCCAAGACCGAAATAAAGTTTGCTTTTAGAATTTATAGCTGAAATCGCAGATGGAACTAATGTTCTTATACAACTATTGATCATTTTTAACTTCCGTAAATACAGTTTACTTTGCTCAACAACAAAAAAACTGGTATTTTATTAAAATTATTTATTGTTTGTACTTCTACTTAATTTAAGACTTAATTGTAAAATTTTCATAAAAACTATGTTTCTACAATGTCTCTACAAATCTATGTTTGTCTTAACGAGTTTAATCCGTTCCAAAACTTCCGGATTTTTACTCCTATAGTGAAACATATTAAAAAATACACATAATATGTGTACACAAGTTTTGAAGATGATGTAACAAGTGCGCAATCCGGGACTTCTCTTCTCATCGTCACTCGTTATGCGAAACGTCGCTCGTTTTTCTTACAAGGCGAAATGCTCGTCATGCGAGGTGCTCGTTAAGCGAAGATCCACTGTATTTGATTTAGGCAGTGGCGGAACTTCAAATCTTTTTCCCTCGGCAAGATATTATTCAGGCTTCAAAGTGCAGGGTCTTGCAGGGCCACATTAAAAAAGTTGTGAGCCCTAAACACCAGTTAGTTTTATTATTTGAGGGCCTTAAACAAATTTTCATTTGGGCCCCCTATAGTAACAACACAGCACCCTCTCTTCCGCAACAGAAATATCTAAACAAAATAATTAAAAATTGTGTAATTTTTTGGTTGTTACAATAAATGCTGTTATTATATTATTATTTTTTATAATAAAAATAAATAAAGAATAAAATCTGGTTTTAGATCACGAAAGTAACATTCTTGTGGAGAATACGGTTTCGATAAATGTATCAAATAATTCAATAATTGAAGGCACAAAATAATTAATTAAAAAAATAAATAATTTTACAACATAAAAGCTCTCTTCACACTTTCCCCAATTCCAAACATTTTTAATGATCAAACAAAATGTTTGTTTGATCATTAAAATGTCAAAACGTATATGAATTATGCGTTGCCATCAAATATTTAAAATGTCGATCGAGTGCATCGGCTCTCCCATTATTATGTGGAAACAACGAAAGAATTAAATGCGAGTAAATTGGACATAAAAAAGGGCTCGTATGGAATCGATGAATTATTAAATTGGAGGAGCTGGAACGTTCGACAATATACAAAAAAAAGAAGCTTTTCCATTATTCTATGTAATTATCGAATCTATAATTAATCCAATGGCCGGATTTCGTAATTGAATTATATTTTGTAAATCCGAAGCGTGCAGGAATTACTAATGATTTAGTGCACACGCCGCATGGACCCGTGGGGAGAGGAAGAATGGACCCGGGCGTTATATTATATTTTCACCATTGACGGTCGTAAATCAATAGAACGAAACCGATTAATTTGCGGTACGAAAGATATACAGAACGTTTCAATCTCTCCGCGGATAAAACAAACCAAAAAAAATAAATGAAATATTAAATCCGGTTACGCAACTGGCAGCGCCATCTGTCAGTAGTTGATGTATACATTGAATATTAAGAAATATTACAGGAAACTATTTTAATTTGCCCTCAGTTATATTAACTGAACTATAATTATAAACATAATATAATTAATATATAATTTAACGTTTTTCATCAAAACAATTCAATTATTTAAATGAAAAATTTCAAATAATCATTAATTTGCATAATTTAAACGTCAATCAATATTAAAATTTGTTATGTAATTTATAATTAACGACATATATTCGATTAATTGTTCAAATATTAAGGATTTGTTTTATTTATTCTGTGCTTTAATTAATAAAAGCAATAAACTAATTAGTATCAAATTATTTAGATATTTACGTTTAAAAATAAATTATTTTTATTTTCAAGTGTCATATGTCATTTTTTTATATGTAATTATTAGAATAATAATTGAAATTTGTATTACGTTTCAATACTGAAAAGGAATTAAATTTTTCGTGTGGTTTTGTAAATTTATATCTGAATGACATTTCTTTCTATTAATAGATATCACTTCTATCTTTAAGGCAACCAAAACGTTTCTCGTACCGTGCAAATTGCATAAGTTGATTTTCAATAAAATAAAAAAAATATATAGTAAAAGCATTAAAGTTGTCGTAGACCTTAATCCTGGGTTTTTAACAACAAAATACGAGTTCTTGAAATCTATTGAATTAATTCTATAAATTCTAATCCAACCATTTTTTTCCAAGACAAGTCTTGTGGGCTCTCAAGGCCTATGGCCCATTGTGCCTAATGGAAAAGACTGCTTTGAATAACATTTACTTTTCCTTCCTGTATTAAAAATTAATAAAATTTATTTATTTTATATTTACAAATAAAAAAACAAAATTATTTCTGTTACATAATTTGCTTTTAGTACAGTGAAACCTCGCTTAACGAGCACCTTGCATAACAAGCATTTCGCTTAACGAGCAAAATTAATTGTAAGAAAAATCATCATTCTAGTTGCATCTTAGTGTTGTTTGTAATCATACAATTTATAAACTTGTGTTCAGAAATGTTTTTTGTGCAAAATTTAATAACACTTACATGTCTCCGAATAAAAAAAACCAGAGAATAAAAATAACCATATATATGAAAAGCAAAATCATGAAAAATCGAGACCAAGTTATACTTTTTTTTCTCCGACATGCAACACATTATCGTAATTTACATTAGTTTATGGGAAAATGTGTTTCACTATACGAGTAAAGGTGTATTAAATTTAATTAAAATAAAACTTAAAATATTGCTCTTCTTCAGTGCTTATTGTAAAATATTATTTTGAGTGCAAATGTACCGTCTTTCGGGCATTTTCACTAAAGTACGAAATTTCACACTCAACTGTTGCGTACACACCACAATGCATTAGCGATTGTTTGCGGCATTTACGACTGAATTCTTTGAAGTATTTCATTTTTAACATTACTATCTTTAACACTATACCTGACTTCAAAAAACTGTACTACTTAAATATTTACTTTGTAAATAAGCCAGATGACTTTATATTGTACAAAGTTAGGTAAAACTATCTTCCTAAATGACAAATCTGTGGACATAATAAAAATGTCAATTGTTTTTTCTTAGTTTATACATAAAGAAAGATTTGAGACAAATATTGGTTTCTTATTAGATATTAATTAAAATTGAGCACTAACTTACTTAAAACAGCGTTTCTCAATCTGTTTGCCGAGCGAATCAACTTATTTGTATGCAGTTATCCTTTAACCCAGTGGTCCCCAGCCCCCGGTTCGGAACGTATTTTTTTCTATTTTATTTACTGTGGTGTATTTCTCTCAGGTTTGTGCGACTTTCCATGGACGAGAAGTTATTTATGTTTTTATTATATTCTGAATCCATTTTTGTTTGCAATTTTCGCATTATTAAGGTGCGTTTTTATAAAAGACTAAATGTAAATACTATTTCATATTTAGAATCTTATTTAAAAAAGGCCTTGTAGTGGTCCGTGAGGTCAAAAAAGTTGGGGACCGCAGCTTTAACCCAATTGTTCATCAGTTCTTTCATTTGACATAATGTGACAGCTGTCATTTCACGATCTAATTGCTAAAAGTGTTTCATCAAATCCTCGTTTTGATACAAGGTGACAGCTGTCATTTCTTTACCCAATTGGTAAGAATATTTCACCTTTTCCTCGCTTTGACACAAGGTGACAGCTTTTATTAAAAAAATGACGTGAACCACATGAGAACCGCTGATTCAAAGAGAAATGACAAACATTATCATTAATACATTTAAAATATATATTATATACTTAATAATAAACAAGTGATAAATCTAACATAATACTTGAAATAAATAGTGAACTTCTTACTAATTTAATATTTGTTCATTAATTAATTTAAAAGAATATAGAAACTTTTGTAAAATCCTAATTCGATTATATTTAAGTAATTTTCCAGTAAAATTTTCAATTTGAGACTAATTATATTTCTTTTATGAACTTAATCTGAGGATATATAAAAAAAAAAACAGAATGAATTGGAAATCTATTAAAGCACGTTGCTGCAGGTTATAACATCACATACAAACATGCTACAGATGGTCGAGTTCCAGTTAGTAGTTAAACTACCTAACAAATATAGAACATAGGGAAATACCAAAAGATCAAAGACAAGTAAAACGGTTTTAAGTATAAGTAGGATGCAGAGATCAGAATGTTAAAATTAATCAAAATACTTTTATAAATTAATCAACTCAAATCTACATAACAAAACAAAAATTTACAACGTAAAAGTTAAACATTACATTGATAAAACAATTAATTCACTTTTTTTTTAATTAGTAATCATATGTAATTTCTTATGACGAAATTTTTAATTAAATTCATAATATTGCTTATTGATCATCTTTATTTCAAGTTTTTACTGTTGCGGTTATTAAAAAAAACAGCGCTCTTTTTTTGTGTGTGTGTGTGGTTATGGCAACAAAGTAATCATACATAATGTTTTTGTTTTATTGATTTATATTACATAAATATACAAAGAAATAGAAATTATTTATACAAAATAAAGTTACACATAATGCTCTACGCTCGATAGGAATAAAACTGTAATGTAAATAGGTACAGAGATAGATCAAAGGGATGCCCCCGGCCCGCCGTCGTGCAGAGCTCCGTCGTTCCGAAACTTATTTATTTAATCAAGTTTATCGTCTGATTTTATTAGGTTTTCAATGGTAAACAGACGCGAATTTTTGCTTTTGCACTGCGACGTCGACGAAACGACCATCGAACCAATCGACGATTCGCGCGACGACATCATCGACGCCTCCTCCATTGGCCGATCGCTAATTGACTGGCTGCTCGGAGATGGCGCTGATAACGATGGCATTAAGGAAGCTGTCAATTCCTTCAGCGTCACTGACTCCTGAAACAAATACATACACATACAGAGATAATGTTTGTTCAAAAAGGACGAAACGAAATTAGGGCAACTACTTCAAAAGGATCATGTCTTCGGCTCTCGTTTCATATTTGCCTTCATTTGCATATAGATTGCGTTAGTTAAAGACTGAAACAATGGAGGTTTTAATCTTTATACTTCAATAAAACATACATCAACGTGATCTCTAAATTTAATCGATTATTTTAAAGTAAAAGTTTGTAATAAAACACTATGTTATCAAAATTGGTTTACTTGTCACAAGTATTTGACAAACTGTCAAAATTATCTTTATAGAAAAGAGTAATGATTTTTTATAGATGAAATTAACCATTCACTTAATTAAATTATTATCAATAAAGAAATTTAAGATTTTTTTTAAATTCAAAATAAATAAATAATCATGAATTATTGATTCATACTATCAATTTTTAAATAATACAGATTTAAACCACATATTTTGAATGTAGTCTTCAGTTCGTTTAGAAAAGAATTATTTTAATCTAAATCTATCGATTTTTTAATTTTCATATTATTTTACTTTAAGTTCAAACCGAAAACAAAATATTGCTACTATTATATGAATCTATTAAAAGATTAGTAACTTCAATAATTATCAAATATTTTAATTTGAATCATTACGAATTATTACAATCCAATTATAAAGATAATTCAAACTATTTTATATGTTAGTAACTTGCTCTTATCAAACAACCATTGGATTTTCGATTTAAACTAATAGTAATAATAATTTATTGGCCAGTGAAATGAATGAGGCTGTCAACCAACAAATTAGAATCAAAAATCATCATAATGGTAACTATAAAAATTATCCATTTAATGTCAACCGCAATCTTAAATTTACGACATAAAAAAAATATATTTGATGTTACTTAGATAAAATTATCATTCAGTAATAATAAAAATGAAATTAGATTAACTGCTTAATTGGATTGATAATACATATAGTTTTACTACATTTTACTACAAATGTATTGATTACAAACAATAATTTTGTACACATATGATTATTTAAATTATTAAAATTCAAATTAATACTATTAATTCATATTCATTTAACTTCAAATATATTCGATACAAATAGATTTGTATAAAGTGATTAATGTTTAATTTCTTTATCTATAAACTATTGAGAGTATTTTTAAAGAATTACTATTTATTAAGTTTTATGCATGTAGATTTGTGCAAAGAAATTATTGATGAATTTCTGTATATAAATTTGTTCTCTATAAACTATTGATTACTTTCAAATAAGCCTTAATTACTTTACGCCAAATGCATTTATTAGATACAAATTTAGACAAAGACATGATATTTGACGTTATATACAATATTAACTATTGATTACTTTAAATTAATCTTTATGTACTTTACGTCAAATGTATTTGTTACATTCAGATTTAGACAAAGAATTTAGTTTTGAAGTTATATATAAGATTACTTCATATCTAAATAATGACATAAATTTCAAATTATTTCTATTAATTTTACTTCGAAAGTATTTGTTATGTAGAGATTTGTGTAAACTATAGATTTATCTAAACTATAAATTACTTTCAATTAAGTCTTATTTACTTTATTTCAAATGATGATTTTTTTAGATGCAAATTTAGACAAAGAAATTAGTTTTGAAGTTATATACAGGATTATTTCATATCTAAATAATTGAAATTGTCATTAATTTTAAATTGTTTTTATTAATTTTTCTTCAAAAGCATTCGATACATTGTAGATAGTAATGATTTGCTAATTTATAAATCTTCAAGAATATGCAATTAATGTTGTTTTGACCAATTTGATTGATATGTTGCAATAAATGAATTTTATATTATTTACCTGATGATACAGAGCAGCACTACAATCGGCAATCCTCTGCCTCCTGGTCTTCCTTCTTCTATAGTTTCCTTTTTCGAACATGTTATCAGCTTTCGGGTCCAGCATCCAATAGCTTCCCTTGCCACCTGCTTGCTCCGGACCGCCGGGACCGACTTTATCCCTTGGCACTTTCACGAAGCAATCGTTCAGACTGAGATTATGTCTGATCGAGTTCTGCCATCCCTGTTTGTTATCCCTGTAGTACGGAAAGTTATCCATGATGAACCTGTAGATTCCACTGAGCGTGAGTCTCTGCTTCGGCGAAGAACCGATGGCCATCGCGATCAGAGCGATGTAAGAGTACGGCGGTTTCTCCGGTCGCGGTTCATGATGCAATTTCAACGGAAGAGGAAGGAAGATGTTGGATAGGTAAGGATTGAGAAAGGGATGCTGCAGTGTTAGGTAATCGGGCAGCGAGTAGAGCCCTTCGATGTGCTGCAGCGGAAACATCTTGACTACCTCCAAGAAAACGAGCTTCGTCTTAAGTCAGAATTCTATTAATGCGCTCCCACTGAGTGAGTGACTTAACCAATAGCGTCGTTCGGTTTATCCGATGGGGCGGAACCGTTTCGGCCAATCAACGGCGAGATTAACCGTTTTCCGCCGCATTGATTTACTATTTGTTGTCACACGTGTTTTGTTCGACAATAACGGCGACAATCCTCAAACAGGAACAGTAAATAAGCGATCCTGTTATTCTACACTTACTTAAATTGCTATATGTCATCGGGATTTTCTTCGGGCGTTGTTTTCATTTCGGATATTTTCCCTCCTCGCTGCATCTCGCACACGAACAACCACCACTAATTTTAGCCGCAACCAAAACCACGAATCACTTATTTTCTTTCTTTTGACGCAACGACGCTTTTTGTTTTTCTTCCGTAATTTATATGTCTGCATTTTTATGCCGGCATTAAAAACTATTTTCATAAATCTCAATTGGTTGTATCCTAAATGGGACTTAAACAAACACCGCAAACACCAAAACACATTCATCCCCCTTGATTTACATCTAAAATAATACAATATTTGTGAATACATTTCTGATTCATTAACCAACTACGCAAACATAAATATCAATTATAAACGTCTACTGTTTACTTCGCTACTTTCTAAACTGATATCATCTAATCTGAACTATAAGCTTCAATAATATCACTTAAATTATTCTCAAATCACACTCTAATTACAAATAAAAAGAATATATATAAATAAATAGTTTTCATGTTTTCACTTAACAATTAAATTAAAGAATTTAAAATTTCTGTCAGTAAGACAGCTATATTATTTAGCTATAATTACAAATAACCACAAACTACCACAATCTACACTTTATTATTTACTAAATGTGTTGCTAAAACCTTATGAATTTGAAAAAATAATAATCTTCAATATTTTATACTTACCTTAACTAATATGTACTTCGTTAAGCGCTACTTCATTTTCAGAGGTAAAAGTTCTATGGCCGGATTGAAAATACGTTTCTTCCTATATTTTTTTCCAGCAAAGAAAGGTTATTAAATATGTAGTTAATAATAATTATTAACAAATTTAAAGATTAGTTAGAAAATTAAATCTGTATAATATTATTGATGTATTGAATAATTTTGATTAAATTAATAAGAAAAGAAAAATTTTCATTCGCCATTATATTGAAGTTTACATTTACCAAGTATAAAATAACTTCTCATAACTGTCTTTACTTTAAAGTGTGTGGTTAATTTCTATTTAATTTAGTTCCTCAATTAGTCAAGGAAATTGGCAGAACCGTTTATCTGGACTATGCGAGGTATTTCTGTAATTGATAATGATTGTAAATAATATAACTTGGTACATAATTTGTATATAAACTATATAAATAAGATAAACATACAAAATATTTGCACTTACTTTAGTAACTAACAAAAACTAAATATACTTATAAATACAGTCATAGCTCTATTAACGAAATTACTTCGTTTTCAGATGTAAAACTTTTTTTTATACACAGTCTGCTTTTATACAAAGTGAAATCACATTTTAAAGTATGAGTCTAAAGTTGATTATTTGTACTTTTTATCTTTCATTTAACAATTGTCTATACGGAGATATTTCAGCTAATACTGATTGTTAACGATTATAAATCTAAATCTACTAAAATACTAAAAAGTATAAAAATTTATTAATGTTATTTAAGAACTTTTTTAAATCTTTGGTTGTTAAGATGTTTTTGCCACAAACATCTTTAATTTGTCTTCGTTTTTAACAAGATTTTTTTAAATTTTCCACTGAAAAATCATCAGCTTCAATATATTTCTTTCATAGATATTTTCAAAACCATTTCTAATTACTTAGATGTTTGTCTAATAATTGTTAGGCGTTGGCCTTAAATAGAAATATTTGTTTATGTTACATAAATATTGAAAGTATAGATTTTCTTTATACCGAAGTTTCGTTATCAGTTACCTCAATTGAGCGAGGTATGACAGTATTAAAAAAATAATTCAATGAATCAATTAATTTCCATATTTATTAATTCATGGGGATGTGTATTGCTTTAATAATATTATTTAAATATAATATTTACTCATTACACACTGATTACAAATAAAGGAAATGATTGTTTTTTTAAAGAATTTTTTAAATATATTTTCTACAATAGAAAATATTCTATTCAAATATATAATATTTCATCATTCAATAATCAGATTTCAATTTGTAAATAATAAATACATACTTTGTTTTATTGGTTTATATCAGTAAAACAATCAAATTCAATAATAACTTTAAAATGTAAATATTTATTTTATTATAATTAATAATTTTACTAAATCAGAAGCAGAAAGAACAAATATGAATATATACACAATAATGAGTATGAAAAATTAACGAAAGACCAATATTGAAGAATAATTTTAAATACTTTTAGTTTCATTAATTTATAATGATTTAAGGAAGTTTTTTTATTTTGGGAAGTTTAGTGAAGGAATAATACAATTTTATCGTTTTTTACCTATTACTCGGAAATATATTAAGTTACGCCTACTGTAACCCATTTTTTCAGGGGAAGGCGAATTCCAATGTTTTGCATAGATACACAAAAGAATTTTATTTGGTTAACGTCCTCATTACCCTCAATACTTCACTTTTACCCCATTTTGGGTAATAATTATTTATTAATAATTTCACTAAATATTAAAATATTATCATATTTCTTCCTACAAAATACTTAACAGTTTCTTTTTAAGTATTTTCTATAACAAATAGAAAAATATAGAAAAACACGTTATAAATCACAAAGTTTTTCTAATTAAGAAGCTTTCAAAGAATATACATATTTTTATTTGTAAATTAAAGATTAAATAGAATTAAAATAAAACATAATTGATTAAAATATTATAAAACACATTGCAATTAATCTAGGATTTCAAAATAAGATAAATTCTAGGAATAAATAAAAGCGTTTAGAAAAGTATAACGAAGACAAATTACAAATTTCCGTAAGTTAATGGTAGGAAAGGAATATAAATCATTGTGTAACTGTAGACGCACACTGAATGTAGGAGAAAAAGAAAGAAAAAAAAATGGTTCCTTTTTAATACGGAAATATATTTGAATAAATTGCTATCCAAATCAATGAATGTAAAGCAGGATTTATCAAATTAATGAATTACGTCGCAATTCGTGTTTTATTTATTGATATTTATTTAGTTTACTACTTTTTATATAACACCTCACTTAATAAGTTCGTAGGATGACCAATAAAATAACAACTTTTGAGTAATATTCGACTTTATTCATGAACATAGTCTCCTTCAAGAGTGACTCATTCATAACAACGCTTCTCTAACATTTCGACACCTTTCTTGTACGATGATTTATCTTTGGCCTCAAAATGCGGCTTTAATCCTTAGCTATCTACTCAGCTGACGACCGAATTGACTCTGGAGTGTAGTTGTGGATCTAGGTTTCATCCATTGTTACATAACGCATGAAAAAAATCCAAAAAAGGTCCAAACAGCGGTAGAAATCATCAACTCGTTGGTGTTTTTGGTCCAATTTGAGCTTGCACGTAGTACTCATTCCGAACAATTTCGAAAATGTAACAACCAATTTTTGAAAAAAAGTGTAAAATCACAAAAACTTTTTTATCCCAACAATATTCAATTGTCTTAACTTTTTTTTCTCTATTTCTCTTAACCAGTATACTCTACTTTTTTTCTATGTGTTCTATAATTTTAAGCTCCCCTTTTTAATATGTCCTGCTCTGTTCTAAGCCGTCATTTTCCTTATCACCATTATATGTTTAATGTAATTCTAATTGTAATTCTTAAGGCCGCAAGAAGCTAATGCCCATACCGGTCTCATTAATTTATATAACCTGTATATACTATATTTAAAAAATACCATTTTTTTTAAATGGAAATGGTTCAACTGAAATAAAGCTTAGAGAGATATAAAGTTTAATATGAGATATAAATTAATAATATAGTGGCAGTGACTTTGAAGTTTGTAAAATTAGCTGAAAGAACATGTTGTAATTATTATAAGCATAATAAGTATAAATTAAAAACACATAAATTCGCTTCGAGCAAAACTGGAAATAGTCGCAAGTTGTAAAATAATCCTCAGAGCATTTCGTACCTGATAAAATTTATGAACCAGACACTAAACTACAAAACCGACAACATCTTTACGTTTTAAATGTACAAACGCGAAACTCCAGTTCTATTTTCAACTGCAACAATGATTAATTACGTACAGCTAAATACAGATTTATCACTACGCAATACATAATATGTCATATTTTAAGAATGTTTTGTACTTTTGAAAAAGCTAAAATCATTTGACAAATGACAGTTGTAAACTTAAATATGCTTCCAATATTCTACAAAGGATGAATTAAATTCGTATTTAATTTTAAAAATCAATATTTCACAAATTATCAATTATTACTAAATTCACTCCAAAAATGAAAATTATTTTAAGTTTAATTTAAAGTTAGTTAATGATATTACAGTAATTACTAAATATTTTGAAAAATTTGACACATGACAGTTGTGCTAAATTTGAAATAAATGACATATGACTTAAACATGCTACGAATGTTTTAAAACTGTGGTTTCCAACCTCCGGTCCGCGGATCAAATGGTACCGAGCCGCTAAAAGAACATTAAATTATTTCCATTTTATTTTAACTCATTAGAATCTTGTGAGTTAAACGTTAAATCACTTTATATTCATTTTTTGGTGCAACTGTATCAACGCATCCGCCCCCCCCCTCAGCGGCTATAAAAAGGTATCAAATATTTCGAATTGGTTTTTACAAATCAATATTTCACATTATATCAATTGTTACTAAATTCATGGAAACTGTTTGCAGTTATTCAATGATATTATAGTTATTATTAATTGCTTTTTAAAAAAATTTAAAGTTTGTACAAATTGACAGGTGTCAGTTGTAACGCCAG